TTTAATAATTCATTTGTACAATTCAGTCCAAATATAACATTCGTGGCATGTGTTTAGTAACATAGAATGCTTCTATATACACTCATATCATCACGCAATAATATGAAGCTAGTGGTATTTTGATAACGATAACTTCAAATATGAAAAGTGAGGTGAAATTAAGAAATTTTAGCTCATCACTTATTTGAGAAGTTTATTTCATCTGGTCAAGTAACGAAATATCTCGCCTGACCTAAATATGAAACGTTTCTCTCAATGATTACTGATTGTCCCTCATTGTTGTATAAAGATTACGAAGCATTCAGCTTACAATAAATAAGTGATTTTGACAATATTCATTATGAGATCATAGAACAAACAAAAATGGTATAGATTTCTTCCCATTATCAACTTCACAGATTTACTAAGGTACATACAATACTACGAAGGCGTACAGTTCTCAAAAACAAAATATGTTCGACTATAAAGTTGTAAAGTTATACAAAAAATGGTTGGAAATATTCCATTTGATGTTGACTGAAACCGAAGTAGGTAGGAATACTATGTAATGATAAAGACATGGTTTCTCAATGATAGTTTTAGTCATATGGGTGGGAGGGCCTAGTCTGCCTTACTTAGATTCACAAGATGTTGGATACCAGAGGTTAGTGAACCTGTTTAACGTGGCTAAAAATTTATCACAGTTAATTAGATGTATTTAATATTCAACCGTAACTTTGAAATTTCATTAAATCACACTGATCAAGGCAGTGTAAACGAAGTCAGAAGGTTGTGTGAGTACCTTGATATGATTATGAGCAATAAATTGTGCTCGAAGCATCAGCAGTAGATATTACTGTATAACACTGTGAGACCTTAACAAAATAAAATTTTCTCCATTATGAGAGTGTCTGTCTGTCTGTTTTCAACATAGAACTTTGCACCGATGTGCAGCAGTTCAAGTCGCCACACTCCATGTAGCACACAAAGCAAGAGAAGAAAGTAGACAGGGACATGGGACAAAAGGAGTAGTAATAACGAAAAACAATGTAGTTTCATTGGAAATTATAAGTCACGAGGAGTGGATGCATCTGCGCCATCCACCAAGAACGATTTTGAGCCATATCACCAATTGTTTGCAGCCACCATTGGTTTTTACCGTCCCGAGGACCCCAACCAGGAAGTCTACATCTTTCTACGTGGCTTAAACTAACTGTTGTGGATTTCATTGACTGGTGCCATGTTTTCGTTTGACCGCCGCTAGCTCTTTTCCAGCCTGACCCTATGTCAGCTAACATTGCCCGTTGAGGAAGGCGATGACTAGGCATACGTAACACATGTCCTAACCATCTCAGTCGATGTAATTTCACAGCCTCGTCGATTGATTTCCCCTCCGACTCACCTAGCACTCGACGCCTAACCTCAATATTGCTCACCCTATTATACCATTTCACGCGGGAGATAGAACGCAGACACCCATGATCAAAGACAGCTAGCCAGCCTTTTCATGTCTTCCACTCTCAATGGCCAGGTCTCACAGCCATAAAGGAGGACGGAGCAGACTTCTGAGCAGTACACCCGCCGTTTGGTCGATAGCCGGATATCACGTCTACACCAGAGACGGTGTAAACTGGCATATGCGAAACTAGCTCTCTGTAGGTTGAACACTTCACTTATTTAGGAAGTCACATCAACCCTAATGGACTGATTGCTAACGAAATCTCAACACAGATACAAAAGGCTTTTGTAGCCTTTCGCAATTTTCATCACCTCTGGAGTAGACATGATACCCAACTATCCATCAATGGACGTGTCTACTGCTCAGTAGTTCGCTGCGTCCTTCTTTATGACTGTGAGGCATGGCCGTTTGAAAGCGGAAGACACATAAAGACTAGTTATCCTTGACCACAGATGTTTGTGTTCTATTCCTGGTGTTAAGTGATAGCGTGGTGGTGTGACACGGACAATGTGTTTCAACCGAATATTATTCTCACATATTCCCATAGTTCAATACTGCGTTAGGAACAGAATAATATGTATATTTGAACATTCTGTTTCATGTCGTTTAATGTAAACCGAAATCACACGCTCAGTGACTGGTTAAAGAATATAAACTGTATATGTGTAAATAGCGGTTTGATCAGTTGAAAATATACCCTAGCTTCCGTGTCTTGCCTTCTGCTGTTACAATATAATATAATGAATAATATTGAGGTTAGAAATAGACTGATAGGTAAGGAACGAAATCAGTTGACAAGTTTGTGGAGCAACATCGACTGAGGTGCCTAGGACACGTTCTGAGTATGACAAACCACTGCCTTCCTCAATGATCAATGTTAGCTGACCTAGGATTAAGTTGAGAAAGAGTTAAGGGTGGTTAAACCGAAACATACAATCAATCCTTGAAGTCTCTGATTGTTAATTCCAGCCACATAGGAAGGTTTAGACTGCCTGGTCAGAGTCAGTAGCTTGAGATTGGCGATATGGGTCGTTCTCAGTGGTGCAGATTCATTCAGTCTTTGTGATCTCCTATAATCAATGAACTGTCATATTTCTCTGTGTTAGTATACTTGCTTTCGTACATTTCTGTTCATTATCATTCTTTTGAATTTTTTTTCTTTTCTCCATCATTTGTGTGTCACATGGAGTGTGACAGCTTGAACTGCCGCGCTTCTGTACAAAATCCAGTCAGTCAGTCAGTCAATCAATCAGTTAGGCAGTCAATTAGTCACAGTCTAAAACATATTTCTTATCATTACTGAAAATTTTCACTTTTATTTTAGTCTGGAATGTGTTAGTTAAAAGTGAGATACTTTTGTTTGAAGTTTCGCGTTCTTCATTTTTATGAAACATACCATTAATGTACGGGTAATTGTTTATACTTGTAAAGTATATGGTTAGAAGTGAAATCTTTTGAAGGTTTTCTTTAAAAACTCAAAACTCAAAAATTCAAATCACTAAATGTGACCTATTTTACGTCACAAATAGTATTAAGAAAGTGTAATGTTAGAATACTTTTATAATATAAAGCAGTTAAACTCGTTAGCGAGATGCAGTGTAATGTAAATTCACTAGACATCAAATGTAGGTATTAGATGGTTGGAGGCAATCGGTAGGAAGCCCAATTTGACATAGTTTTCGTGCTAGTAGGTACTCATCACCAAGGTGTATCTGCAACCTTGAAGGAACTCATGTCCCTTCTGAGATTCAAACCCGTGTCACCCAATGCTTCAGTCAGAGACGTTACCACTGAGCTATTCGGGCTCGTGATTGAGCTCCTGTAGGACTGTATTGGATATTTTTGATTGGACACTAGTCAGTAACTAGTGGAATGTGTCTAGTCCTCTGCTTGGTTCGAATCTCAGAAGGGATATGAGTTCCTTCAAGGTTGCAAATACACCTTGGTGACGAGTGCCAACTAGCACGAAACCTTTGTCAAACGAGGCTTCCTGCCGATTGCCTCCAACCATCTAATACCAAGAATTCACAGTGTGCCGTGATGGCGAGCCACCTAGAATGCTAGTCACATTGCAAACTTGACTGACAGAATTCAGTCTGCACCAAAGATAGGATTATACACATTACACTAGTTACTAACTAGTGTCCAATCAAAAAAGACATCAAATGATTAATTTAAGGAGCCATATTCATACTAATTTTCTCTTAGCTACTATCAGAAAAAGATAAAAATTATCCAAAATAAAAGTGGACAGTGAAGTGAAATGTATCACATGCCTCACATAGTTTCAAAATAAAACTCATACAGAAAAAAATTATGGAATAATGATATTTAGATAAGAAAATCAAGATATCAGATGTAGAAAATTTCAAATAATTTGTATATGCACTGCTGTGAGTTACTATCAGGCATATCAGCAAGATACTACGACTGCTGACTTACAGTACTTACGTAATCTCCATCAGACAGCTGATGGTTCTCAGGACTTTGTGAAATATATGTCAAAGAAAGAAGTAAATCACAATAACCAGCGCTCTTTTGTCACAATTCAGACTGCCATTTGTGGGTTTATAGAGATTTATAATCTGAAGTAATTGGAACAGACTAAGAAAATCTGTCGGACAAAAAAGTTAGTTGGTAAGTGACTTTGTGGATACTGAAAATAAAAAGACCTGCATTGACTTTCAGATTTCATACTGGAGCTATGAATACGTCTTCTAGAAAGTCCCAGATCAGGAAGTAGTATCTGTCAGGCACCTATACTTTTTCAATCATGCTACATTTTGATTGGACACTAGTAACTAGTGCGACATGTCTAGTCCTTTCTTTGGCGCAGACTGAATTCTATCAGTCAGTCAGGTTTGCAATGCGGACACTATTCTAGGTAGCTCGCCATCACAATGCACATTGATTTGATGATATTAAATGGTTGGAGGCAATCAGCAGGAAGCCTTGGACCTAGGTTTCGTGCTAGTTGGCACTCGTCAGCAAGGCGTACCTGCTACATATGGTGGCGATTGGCATAATTAGTCAACTTTAAATCAAGTACACGACAATGACTCTGAGTACTCTGATGGATAAATCGGTATTATGACCAACTCACTGACTGACTGAATGATAAAATGATGATTTTCAGAATCGTAGAATGCTGACAAACAAATGCTGCATTGTGAATAATTCTAAGCCATATCATTAAAAGACTTCAAAAAGTGATTCTTAGCACTCCAAAGACTTTAGTCAGATAATCTACGCCTTCTTATTTGGCTCAAATCATCAGGTGATGGGTGAATTTATAGATAGGCAACATGTTTTGGTTTTTTACCATCTCAAACTCTTTTCTTATCCACCGTTACATCAGCTAAGATTACTCATCGAAGAAGACAGTTCCTTGGTATTCGTAACATGGTTCTTTGCCATCTCAATTAATGGAGTTATGCAACCGCATAGATCGAATTTTCATGTCCCTCTATCTTACTTTAGCAGCTGGTCGATGGGCAATACTTTTATATCGCCTACCTTCATCGGCCATACGTCAATCTTAAAGTATATATATATAGCTTACCTTCCATTTACATAAATCATATCAGTTTTACTTGACGCCAACAGAACAGCACCAATTGTTGCTCCAGAATTCTCTCCATAAATCATAACCGATGATGTATTCCCTGAAAATAAACGTCCATACGTCTGTATCCATGTTAACGCTTCGCGTACATCTTTCACACCATTATTTGCACCAGATATATGTAAGTTAAAATCAGAGAAACCAAATATACCAAGTCTATAGTTTACTGTTATATAAATAATTTCTAATGTAGCAGCCATTCTTGTTGAAATTAATCTTGGTCTATGATTTAACAGATAATCTCCACCAATATAAACTACAATTGGTAACAGTCTTTTATTTTCTCCCTTATTGTATAGAGGGTAATGAAAGCTTAGAGTTAAACATGAATGTGGTTTTCCGATAGGTATTTTCTCTTGTGAATTATTACGCAATCTTAGCTGTGCACACTCTGTATCATCATCATCGTATTCTTCACGACCGAAAAATTGTATTCTTCCATCTTTAAATTTTCTTTTATACTTTGATACACTATGCCAATAGGCTAAATAACATTCTTCAAATGTATACGGTGTAGTCGACTCAGCAAAATAAGCATTCTGATGCGGTAATGTTGCATACGGTAGATTATGTAATGTATACCAGCCTGTGATATTTGTTACTTCTGGACATAAGGTAGCACAATTAGTTATTATGCATGCAGCATGAATATCACGATCCAGTGCTAAATGTTTATTCATTTGTTCAATTTTCATTTCTAGCTGTTGAAATTTCCATGTTTTCCAGATTATAATCGGTAGATGAGATAGTATGAATACTAGTAATAGAATAAATGTAACCAATAGAAAAAACTGTCTTCTCAGCTTTTCATTTCTTACTCGCCTTTTCCAGGCATGACTGTCCATTAATAGGCTATCAAATGATAGATAAGGTTTAAATGAGAGAGTTTGTTCCGTGGTAATTATCTCAGGGACTTCAGTAATAATTGTGTTTCTTTTATTTTCATGGTCAGCTACTTCTTCGTTTTCATATTTTTGGTTATCTTTGGCTGATGAACGACTATCAGATGAAAATCGTCCTGATGATGTATTCATGCCTAGAGAATAATTCCTTGATTCAGGCATTATCGATAAAAGTTATTATTTTTTTTAAAGTCACGTTTTCCTAATCTGAAGTATTTTGAAATAAGGAATACTCTTTCTAAAGTTATTCGCAGATGCTGCCTATGTAGTATTAGACTATTCGATCTATAAAAAAATCGATAGATTACTTCTTTATTTTGCTTATATATATATATATATTTCAAATTAAGAGTTTCATCGATTTGTTGAATTCGGTTAAAATATTACAAGGTTTCTTTTAGGTAAGTTTCTGACTGATATTAGATAGTTGGAGGCAATCGGCAGGAAGCCTTGGACCTAAGTTTCTGACTGTAATATATTCCGTTACATCTTGAAATAAAACTGCTAGTTAACTAACGACATAGCTGGTGTAATTCTTGATTGTCAATTGAATCAGTATTCATACAATGATTGTGTTGATTCAAACCATAATTACACGCTGAAAATCTTGAGAATAGTGTTTTATGCTAAATTAGACGAAATATATTTTGTGACAGAAAGCTCAATGAAGTCTTTGAAGTGAAGACTTAAGTAAGATAAGACTGCCTGCTCCTACTAATGATGATATTCCTAATTGTAATGGACTGGACCACGCAATAGACCATGGGGAGCGAGAGGACAGGCATAAGTTGGACCAGTAGAAAGACAGTGGAAGATTTAGACTTTACTTCTAATCTCACACAAACTCGAAGATCAAAAGGCGTAAACCAACAAGTTAGATGAAGAGATACTCATTGAAAGCAAGACTCCAAGTGAACACAGAGAAGAAAGTGGTGACAAAAAGGTGCCTGACCAACAAAAACAAGCACCAATCACCACCAACTGGAGAAATTTGAAGGAAGTAGTCACCTCTTTCATCATTCAACTGAACTAGTCAGAATCATTACAACTAAAGGCAGCATGGATGACAATGTCAAAGCTAGGCAGGATTGGGAAGGTAAGACAGACATTCTTTATTCTGAAATCAGTGTGGAAATCTAATCCACTGATCATAGGAATTTAAAAGTTGGATTTTCGACACTGACGTGAATTTATTCAGGGATTCAGTTAGAACAGATGCGCGTGTCATTAAAAGCATTTCCAACAGCTTACTGAGGATTTTCATCAACGGCTGCTTTCGCTGGTTCCATTCTCAATATCAGGTGGCTGACCAGATAGAATTAGCAGCAAGGAACTTTAGCAGGCAGTAAACCAACCAGGAACCTATCCCTCAGCAAATGGACAGAAGGAAATGGAGATAGATTGGACATACTGTGAGAAGACAGTTGAATGAAATCGCATCACACGCCCTCGAGGGGAACCTGAATGTGAAAAAAACCAGTTAAGCATATATTCGGAGGTGACATATAGAAGATAGTGTGAGGAGGAAATGAAAGCCTATGGGCAATGCTCATGCCAACTGTAAAGGGCTTCATGGAACAGAGTGAAATGGAGATGTACTGTTGAAGCCCCATATTTCACACAGAATTCAAGGGAATAATAATAACATATGTATGTAATATTAATTTTTGACTAAACTTATTACTTCTAAGCATCTGTTACTCAGGTTGCCTCAGTCGCTGTTATCACAAAATAACTAACTAGAAGGCATAGTAATAATTAAAATAATTTTACTGTACCAACTGTCATCATTATTTCCAGGACAAAAGTATTTGTATAACCAACTATCATCACTATAACAAAGTTCTATACAATGAACAAGGTCAAAGTTTATGTAGTAAGGTTTTCCAGTTATTTAATTAGGTAATTATAATAATTGTTATATTACTTAGTACCTTAACTCTGTTTTATAATGAGCTGACGTCGGTTAGAGAACCATTGGAAAACCTGAGACTACTGGACATCTGTTTCGTTCTAGTTTCGGACTCTTCAACGGTACGCACCCACCACAGGGGTTCGAACCCACAACCTTCCGCTAACAAGGCTAGCCAGCTCGTAGACCATTAAGCCACTCACTGGGACCCTACCCAAGGGCCAACACATGAATTCCAACTTCTGCCAATTCACGACTTAGCGCGACCACTTAGCAGCAATGTCTTCGATGAGTAACTGTTCTCACTTTTGACCTGCTCTACCCTACTGGTAATGGCTTCCCACTAAAACCTCAGATAACTGCCTAAATAGGGCCAGTTGCTAGTGCCAGTGGTCATCTTTAACCCGATAAGAAATCAAGCCACTATGCCAGGAAAATAGCGTTAAAAGTGTGTTTGTCTAGAAAAAATGTCAATTATGCGATAACCATGAATGATCTCTGTACGTAAACACTAAATGGATGCTATTATTGATTGTTCACTTATGTAACAGTTAATTTTTGACAGTGAAATAATAACCTGGATCTTAGTAGGTCTTGAACCATCTACCTCCAAATAACTAGACTGGCACTCTACCATCTGAGCAACGAGACACATCTGCTAACCAAATCACTAGTTCTTAACTCTCATGTGAATGAATGATACATTACTATTCGCTTATTAACAAACTAGCTGTCTAACAAGGTTTTCGTCCATAAATCCTAATCATAGTGAATTAGCGGTGCGTCGGTGGTTCTTTGGTAGAATGTTCTTCAACCACGCATGTGATCTGGAGATCATATACTGGCCGACGCACTCCTAAACCTCGCCTGGTTTACTAGTCACTGCACCCCGCAAAACAACACCTCTGAAACTTCATGTCTTCGGGACGCAGAGGAATGAGATAGTGGATCGGAAAGAGAGGAAGAAGTTATTATTGCATCAATAGTAGCCTGCCAACTCAAGGCTATCTTATATAGCATCTCTACCAATACAGCTCACTAACTAATAGAAAATACATACCCAAAACGCAAACCAAAGATTTCTCCTTTTCCGACAGTAACATAAAATTTTTATAGTTCATTAAGTTATTCGAAGAAATCATCTTCCTTTAATGATGAGCTGACGTAACTACAAAAAGTATTTAAGGAATAGCCATCAATACTGTAACATCGTTAAGTAAAAATAGGGAATGGCTTTTGTTCTTCATGACTGCGCACTTCCGACGTCTGCTGGTATAAAGCCCATGGTCATTAGGCTTCGGGAATAGTACAAATCTATTCAACCAATGATTCAGAATCCAATGATCCATGAATTCCAATTCCTGCCAGTTTGCTATGAAGCTCTGTTGTGATCTAATTTCATTGTAGAGTATTTCTCTTCACAACAGATTCCATTAGTCAGGACTTCTCACTGACCTCAAAGTAGACTTATTCACGAATAATGGTAGCAATACTATATCACGAATCGGTAAAGTTAAAATTCATTGATGACTAAACCCCAACACAGTAACTGAATATCTAAATGCTTCCTCACAGCCTAATTAGGGATCATGGGCTCTTTCCACGGGAATAACTGTAGGTAAGCAGTACTGAAGAGTCCAGACTAGCATGAAATCGCAGTCTAGTGTTTTCTAATTTTCAATGGCTTCCTAGTTCATTACTACCATTTTTGGAAGCATGCACTTTGAAACCCTTTAAATCTTCTAAAATTTTGTCACAAATGTTACGCTTAAAACTGAAATCAATTGAGCAATTTTAGGAGAATAGGTTTACGATTATTTAAAAAATGAGTACCTTAAAATTCTAAAGTCTACTAAAAGAATAAAGCGAATACTTCTAGTAGATAATAATATAACTTGGAACTCGTTCCAAATAATTTCATTGAACTGCTCATAGAATAATAATAAACTTATGATTCCCAACGAATTGTCATTACTATAAACTAACCTTAAATGAATTTTTAATTAATGCTTGTTATAAGTTGAACCACTTAATTTACACACTATAGTTATCATAAGTATAATTGCTAACGGATTTTCGCATGGGTCTGTTGTTTCTTCAGATTGTTTCATCGCTATTTGAAGCTAGTGGTGTTGACGGCTCTCTATAAGACTGATTTAAAGCCTGATCATGAACCAACTTTAGTCAGAGAACTATTGGAAACTAGGGAGTACTAGATTTCTCCTTAATGGCTGAATTTTCAACGAGCTAGCGTAGTAACCTGAAGGCCCTGAGTTTGATCCCCGGTAGGATGACGGGCACTTACTACTGAAGAGTTTCAAACAAGGATGAAACAGCTGCCCAATACTCTCTAATAGTTTTCAGTTGTTCTCTAAATGAAGTGATTTCCTGCTCAAACTTGAAATCAATCAAATCCCTACAAACCAACGCTTGAAAACTAACTTCTCCCAGAGATTCGAACCTTTGTGACTAAGTAACCCAATTGTAGAAAAGTCATACCAGTTAGATCCTAGTTACCAGTTAAAATGTAGATGATAGTTTAGCATGAGGACAATCATGACCAGAATAACATCTGTGACCCCAGGAGAAAATGGCGCGTGTTTAAATTCCCTTGGAGAAATCATTTCCATGGAGGCCACAGACGTATCTTTTCTGTAAAGTATCAATTAACACGCGGCCTACATACATGGCATCTTACTGAATGCCTCCAACCGTCTAACATCAATTTAAAGTAAATGAAGACGGCAGTTCCCTTAGAATGTTACCTTATTATAAACCATAAGGATTTTCAGTAAATTGATTTAATAGTCATTTCATCAGACCCAACTAGTTACTTATTCGTGAAGATTTAACTGCGTGAAATTCACTTGACAGTCTGCACCTGACTAATTTGTGGGAGAATATTTCTGATATCACTGCCTAACCTCCACACACTATAACTAGGAGAATTCCTACTTTTATCAGTAAATCAATTGTCGTACAAACAGTTTATCGATCATTTTGAAAAGTATCCTATCTCCAAGTTACAGATACGCAGTTGCATTACAGATCTTCATTGTTAAGATGTAAACTCAACCATCAAGAAAATTAGGTTCTTTTGAAAGTTTTAGGCATTAGTATCCAAGAAAAGGCAAAGACATAACTTCTAATTGTACTGAAGATAACTGCACTGTACATGATAGCTGAGATATGGAAGATGTGTTGGAAAATGTGAAAAGATAAGTGATTTTTGATCAGACGTATCTTCGTC